ATACAAACTGTACTTATATGTATGATAAAGATTTTTTCTTTGTTCCTAATCACGGTTCAAATGGATTTAAAAGAGGAGAGTATTACAAAATCTATAGAATTGGACTATGCAAAATTGGTTAAAGAACAAGAAATGAAAATATTGACTGTTTATAAATTGACAAAACTATTTTACAGCATGACAGCAGTCTCCCAGTTAAAACACGACCTTGTCTCAACTGCACAAAAACCATATTCTTCCCAAGTTTAACCACAATAAGAAAGAAGCATCCACAACTCAGTTTTAGGAAGACTTTTAATAAAAATGAAGCTCTTTTCAAGCCCACCCGCATGTTTAATTGTCTGTAAGATCGTGTATTTAGGAGATATCAGCTGAGCTTACACTTTTGACATGGGAGCAGTCTGAACACCTCACAGTTTCAAAATGGCGAACCTAGTACTCTAAGAGCCAGAGGCAGACAATTGCATGTGAATTATAAAATCTGACATTTGGTTCAGTGACTTTCTTTTATGCCAAGAGATGCGGTCTCACTAAGCCCGACGAAGGGGGCTCTAGAGTTACCCAAGTGCGCCAGGTCTGAAAATTTCAGTAACTTCGTAACTACAGTAGAACCCCGATTATCCGTAGGCGGGTTATCCGGGCAGCGATTATCCATGCCATGATTTTCCATAATTGAAATTACATTTTTGAAATTTTTTTACAAATTGCGTTACTGTAAATCACTCAGCGGGAACTCTCTATAAAGCCGCGAAGAAGATCGCCACAGGGTATGCCAAATGTGAAAGATTTAGTTGCGCGCTAGAGAGGAGTTGTTACGCCACACGTGTGCATGTTTCTTTTCAAAATTACAAAAATGAATATGTGGACTATCTGTGCTTTTCAATTGTCCGTCCATCGTCCAGTCCTGTTGGGCACGGATAATAGGGGTTCTTGAAGAGCTGCCTTTTAAATTAGTTCATAATATACAATTAAATATAACAATAATAATGGCAGACGATGATCGCGGTTCCAAGGTCATGGTAGACATGTTTTAAATTGACATAAGTTATAAAATTTAATAATAATAATAATAAAGTCTTTCATCAAATCATGCCACACATACAATTTAACAGGGCAAAGTTCAGACGTTGGGCTACTCACGGCAACCCAACTCTGCTCTTACACTTAACTCTACTATAATGGAAAGAACTCAAAATCTAATTGGGAATTGTACAGAAAAATAAAGAATTACTTTGTAATGCGAAAAAGAATACATAAATAACTTTATGAAATACAAAATGTATGAAAACTGTATGTATGAAAAAAAAAAAATAAATAAATAACTTACAGTCAAATGGGTTATAAAATTTAACTCAACTCAAACGTTTGCCTAGCAAAAACAATGTCTTTTTAAATTTCCCGACTCGTATGTTTTTAAAAATATTGCTTAAAGCGTTATACTTTTTAGAAATATTGTATGAAAATGATCTTTCATATAATGCAGTTTTATGAATTGGTGGTATAATTAAGTTAACGAATCTAGGGATATTCCTAAATTGAATTTTGTTATATAAATAAACAGGTTCATTTATTGTTACCACTTTATGGTATAACAGCATCTCATGCACATATCTACGATTTTTCATATTTAGCCATCCGGTTTCTTTTAATTTGTGTTTTATATGATGATGCTTTCTTATTCCATAAATTAGTCTCAAACAGGAATTATGAATTTTTTGGATTCTATTGGAATCATAAGTATCCAAACATGGACCGTACACATTAGCACAATACACAAACTGTGACAGGACAAGTGAGTTTACAAAGCGAAATTTTCATTTGTTGATTAAGTATAGAACGTTGATTAAAAATTAATTATTAAGAAAATAATTTTCTGATTTGTTTAGTAACTTTTTGGTCTCTTGTAATTTTTTTGAAACTGCGACCGTTAATGAAAAAAAAATTAAAATCAATTTTATGTAATTAGCTAAATTAAAGTTTTTCAAATGGTCCATTGGCTCGTGGCTTTATTTGAATAATTCTTGTTTTTATTAGTTTTGACAGTTCGCATATGAAATTGTATCTTGTGTTTGCATATAAATTAAAGGTTTAAATTGTAAAGTGTAAGGTAAAATTATAACACCCTGTAAATCGGTAACGAAGCCTTTGCGGACTTTTAGTCATAAAATAAGCCAGAGAATTAGTTCCTTCCGTATTTACACCATATTTAGGTACACCCTGTATAGACGCATCTCTTTTTTCCCTTCGATATAGTGCTATTGTATTCTTTCTAACCTATTGTTTTCTTATGGTTTCAAAAATTGATAAAAACACTAAACTTTAAATTGATGTATCTCCTAAACCAGGGGTCGGTAACCGGTCGATCGCGATCGACTGGTCGATCGCGCAACATTTATTAGTCGATCTTAAGAGCACTTAAAATTAAACCGGCGAAAATAATTTTTTAGGTTCTTAAAAATTTGGGGAATATTTAAATGTCAAAATTTTAAAAGATGCGCGCAAAAACATCCATACCTTTCGTACGAACTAAAAACTGCAAGCACGCACATGCGTGCGCGAAATTATGGTTTCTACGAACTCCGCGTTGAGGAACCAAACCCGACTTCCTATTGCGCCCACGTGTTCCTGAGGTATCATCGTCATAAAGACAAACTGCACTGCAGTCGCTGCAGTTTGTTTAAGCTTAAGTAAAAAGTGGTTACCGCGTGCTCGTATTCGTGTTAATAATTAATATTAATTAGTAGTGGACGGCAACCGTTGCTTTGCTATTGCTGTTGTGTTGTACTGTTGTTTAACAATGGCTTCAAAGAAGCAAAAAACATATCATTTCAATGTTAATTGGGAAGAAGAATTTTTCTTCACAA